AAGCTGTAGTGTGTAAGCAGTCGTAGCACCTACACTTCCCACACCTACAATTGCGATAGTTGCGGGTCTTAGATCAGTTTTCAGAGCTGGGCTTTGCGTGCTTTTGGACATCTCAATTGAAGACGTATTGGGGCTGTTTGTAGTGTATTTAACATTAGAAGGAGTTTGAATGACCATCACAAGGCATACTTATATACCTTTTGAAGCAACATTTTGTGTATCAATTGAGGCAATTGGGTTTAATGAACTGTTCGTCGATAATCTCCCTGTTTTTGCTCTGGGATGCCAATGTCTCGGCGCTTTATCTCGTTGTTTGGGGCAGAGTGGATGTCCGAAGCCTTGGCGCATAAAGCCAAGTGCCTATATTCGTACATTATTACTAAATCCCACGCGGGACATGCCACGTTAGAGCCACTACAGCGCACCCCTTACGTGCCCTTCTCCGACTAAGGAGCTTGTTGCTAGATCATCACTTAATACCTTAAAAGGGGTTTTAGCTGCCAGCCATAAATAAAAATATATTTCCACTTTTAGAATTATTCTTCACATAGATATCGACTACGAGGGCTGAATTACGTGTTCATTGCTTCTAAAAGGACATTTTTATCCCAGTACTGCATCATAAGATTCTATACTACACATAAATCTACTTTTTTTTCACAGTTCATAGTTTACCGTAACCGTGTCAAATCACAGTCATGAGCATCTTTATTTAGCATTGCTACTAGACTGGCAGTAGATTACGAAATTCAATACTGCTTGGTTATTTCTGCCGCTTTACATAAAATTTCCTCTTCTCCAAAGAGCCTGGTATTCTCTTTTCGGACCATTGAAAATGCCTTCCTAATACTTTAGTAACAATTTGAAATTGAAAGATATCGCATTTCTTATATATTAACTTGTTTGCAGCTACTCTAGCTAAAAATCATACTCTGAGCACTCTTGCGCCATTTCATTCTTTTTAGATCTTTGGACCGCAAAACTAGAAGAAAAGTCTAAAAGCACTTAAGATTGCTTGTTGGGTATCCGGAACTAACTCTGAGTGCATCATATTTCGAATATGTAATTTTCCAGGAGGTCGGTGCTGTATTCTAGTGCAAAATGACTTCTGAGTGTTGCAATGTCTATAGCGTGGGCATTTTTTTGCCAAGCCTTCATCCTGCACGTTATTCGTACATAACTCCGGGGAAAAAGCAATTCGTAGCAGTAGTACAGGCACAAATTCCCCACTAGCGTGGGATTTCTATAGCCGCCTGCTTTCGGACAATAGATATGCATGCTACCACTAAGTTTACACAGATTTAGGCATTGCTAAAACGTCACATTGCTGAAGTGGCCTGTGCTC